TATTTATTTATTTATTTATTTATTTATTTATTTATTTATTTATTTATTTATTTATTTATTGGACTTGTATACCGCCCCATAGCGCTACAAGCACTCTCCGGGCGGTTTACAATTTTAATTATACAGGCTACACATTGCCCTCCCAGCAAGCTGGGTACTCATTTTACCGACCTCGGAAGGATGGAAGGCTGAGTCAACCTTGAGCCGGCTACCTGGGATTTGAACCCCAGGTCGTGAGCACAGTTTTAGCTGCAGTACAGCGTATTAACCACTGCGCCACGAGGCTCTTTTGGTAGTGGGGCAGGAGAATGCACAATGTAGGACATCTCAACATGGGGTAAGTGATTCTACATTTTGTAGAATAGGAAGGGGAATAATCAGTGGAAGATTGTTTTTGGCAAGAGCCTTTTTTCACTCACTAAATGTAGTTGTGCTGTACCATTTAGACACAGATCTAGTTTCATTACTTTTCTGTAAAATAATAAAAAGAATAATATATTTAGAGAATAGCCATCTTCATCTTTAGACTGCAGTGTTGTTTAACTTGGAACAGTTCGTTATACTATTATGTTTATGTTTTATTATGTTGTTACCACCCAGTTTGACTGCTATAATATAATAGTATAATATTATACAGTGTAGTAGTAGTGGTGGTGGTGGTGTCTTGGTAGAAATAAAGTATACCAAATTCAGGGTAGAATTTTGTTCCTGTTAAAATATATTCCACAATCAGACAATACCTAATATTAATTCTTTGTTCATTACTTTTCACAATTAATTAGACAATTTTAATAAATATGATGTTGCTATATTTTGAGTTGTATCCCTTCCGAGTCACTGTATTTGCAGAAGATAGTATGAAGTCATTTTGACTCCTTTTATAGTAATTATTTTGTTTGCCAACAAAGGTCATATGGAAGATGAGAGAGAGAAAAATAGATGCCCCAAGTAATTACAATTTAATAACTGTAATTTCATTAAGTGGGGAAAATTACTGTGTGAAATGTCAAGGCATCCAGTGATTTAGTTACATTATGTATTTAAAATTATAATGTTTTTGATCTGTCAAAATAGAATTAATATGAATTTATTATCTCATAAAGTTGAGTTGTTTCAAACTTACAGCATGGATAGATTTTAAGATGTCCTACACTAAAAATAAGTACATTTCAAGTTTTCTACTATATTTTGTTTATCTCTGTATACTAAGCTCATTTTAAACCCTCAAAATAATGTCTTCTATCATGGTACATCCCTTAAAATGTAAATTAAAATATATGTGCCCTGAAAGTTTAGTAGTTGTGTCTGGTTCTTTTCTGTAAACCTTATTTTAGTTTCCTTTCCTTGTTATGCCCTTGGTATTTCATAGCTGGCCTGTTTAAGCACTGAAGCAATTAGTTTTGAGAAGGCTGATTCTTCAGGGTCCAGTGCTTTCTTGCCTTTCATTTGCTGAAGCTGTATATTTTAATGAAGTTGTTTCATCTGTGTTGCCAAACACTAGAATTTTGCTACTTCAGTTCTAATTATCTCTGTTGGCAAATGCTATGTTTTATTAAAGCTGTCAAGAGCACTGTTCATTAAATGTCCACAGTCCATGGTGTCGTACACACAAATTAGATCAGCTTTTCTCATTGATGGATTGTGTAGAACTTACTTTCTACATGAGCCTTGGAAATCCAATGTAATTGCCACTGGCAACTTCATATGTATGGATAAGGCATACCTATGGCTACATGAGATTTGGGCCTAATTCAGACTTGTATAAGTGGTGGTTGTACATTTGTCACATTAATGTGCTATCTCAGATTTCATATGGTATTCCCATTCCTTTTGTCCCAATACCTTTTCTGTGCCATAACATGTCTTGTATGGTTTTCTACACTGTAGTCTGTCAGTCATATCCACATATATGCCTCAGTGTGCAGTGGAACAGTAAAACTGTTTGTCTCTGTTCTGAGTCGTCTGATACAGGCAGCAACACATATTATGTAATGATGTAGCAAGTTTAAATTAGGTAATATAAAATAAGCATTGTGATGATTGCCCCATGTCACTCCTGTCACTCATATTCAGGATCTTATTTGTAGGAGCCTATGAGAGGACTGGAGGGGTGGAATCAGTGGATATAAGAAGATTTGGCAGAAGAGATGAAGGGAGAGATAGAGAATTTACAGAGAGAGATAGATAGATAGATAGTCAGGGAGATAGTGAGAACAGATATTAATAGAAATAAGCTGGTCATGATAAATAGTTAGAGCAGGTGGTGATTGGTTATGTACCAAGATATATGGTATTTTAATGATTTGATTGTATGCATTGAATAAAGAACATCTGTGATACTGATTAAATTTAATACACTTCAATAAATAAGTTCTGTTGGCAGTAACCAGACAGGTGTCTGATTGAAGTTCTTTATATATGGTGGATAAAGGAAATCCACTGGTGGCAGTGAGGAAAAGAGAGAACGTCACAATTGGTATCTGCTAGTGGGATGACATAGTGTGAGCCCTTGTTTGGGGAAACAAGCAGGGGCCACTTGGTAAACATCACAAATGGTGTCCGGCAGCGGGATATGAAAAGATTCCAGTAAAGCCAAAGTTTAAAGAGAATTTTTCTGAGTAAAGTGTGCCTTTTAATCAGAGGTCTGTAGAGAAGAAGTGGGTGACTCACTAGAGCTTTTGTGGAAAAGCTTACTGGCGAGGCTTCTGAATGCAGATCTTGGGGGAACTAAAGATAGGGAACGACTCTAAGGAAAAATTTCTGTTTGAGGTTACCTCAGGATTTGAACAGACCCAGTGGGCTAACTTAGAATCCAAGGCTCCAAGAGCTAAGAGAGCGCTTGTGGAGAAAAAGTGGGAGTCGGGGTCAAAACAGGTCTGAGGTGATAGGAACAGGCAGAGGCTTGAAAAAAATCAGAATTTGTTTTGTGTCTGGAGGCAAGAAAATTGTCTCAGACCAAGGAACATTGTGGCTGGCGTGGTGCCAGAAAAAGGGTAGCCATCCTTAGCTGCCGAGGGAGAGCTACATAGTATCTCAGAAAGAAAAAAGTATTTTAAAAAGAGGCCTGACTATCTCTGCAAAATAAACCAGTTCTTATCCAAAGAAATACACATACATATGCCACCTAAAAGAAATAAAAAGCTAGTAATGGAGGCAATTGATCTTCAAGAGGCACAAGGTTTACCTCAGGAAATGGAGGGAAATGGAGTTCCTCTATCTGTGGAACAGGAAGAGACTCATGAGGGTGCCTCAGGGAGAGAAAGTGATCCAATCTCCCAAGAGTCTGAAAAATGGAAGCTGGAACAGAAATTTAAGTTGAGGGAGATAGCTCTAAAAAAACCCAATTAGAAATAGAGAGAGAAAAAGCCAGGGCTGAGGAGCTAGCCATGAAAAACCAAGTAGAATTGGAAAAAGCAAGAGTTGAGCAAGAACTGGAAAGAGAAAGGCCTAGAGAAAAAGCTGAGGCTGAGGCCAGACAAATGGAATTGAGACAAAGAGAAATGGAGTTTCAATTACAGATGAAACAACTAGAATTAATTTCTCAAAATAGCAATAACAATAACAACAGCACTAGTGAGGGAAATCTCTTAAAGATTGACCTAAAGAAATTTCCTGAATATAGAAAAGGTGACTGCCCAGAATCTTTCCTCATTTCCTTTGAACATGTGTGCTGGGACTTTAATGTGAAAGAGGAAGAAAGGATGATAGTGCTGAGATCCCAAATAAGTGAAGATTTAGCTGGACTCTGTTCTCAGATGCCTCTAGAGCAGGCCAGAGACTTTGAGGCTTATAGGAAAATGGTTTATTCTAGATATGGCATCAATGCAGAATACCTGAGGCGAAAATTTCATTGCCTTATCAAAAAACCTGAGAAATCTTATTCCCAATTGGGGGCTAAATTGGTTCAATGTCTGGAGAAATAGATGGAGCATGAGAATGTCACTTCTTTAGAACAAATGAAAAATGTGATTGGGTTGGTGTTTTTGTGACAACTCGCTCTCAGGGATGGCCAATTGAGGCCACTGAGGAAAACAATGAAAATCTTCCTGAAATAAGAGAAGGGAGTGAAACAGCGGATCTAGTTACCATGAGGAATCCTTATAATCCATCTTTCAGAAAAGAACAAAAGGAAGACCCTACCTTAAGTGAATGCTTTAGACAAGCTAAGGAGGGACCCCTGACCCCTGAAAACCCTGAAAGATAATGTGTAAAGGAAGACCTATTACATAGAGTGAATCCTATGAGGGGAGGGGAAAGCATTCTCAAACAGCAGATAGTACCTTTCAAATATAGAGAGAAGATTTTAGAAAAGGTGCATGAAGTCTCTCTTTTTGGATGTGTTTTGAGTATTTGTTTGATATTCCTTTCATATGCTTGGATAGATAGGGATAATTCATTTTTATTTTAAACGTGTACACTCAGTTCTTCAACCCAAAGGGCTTCAGAAATGCGTTAAAAAGTAAATTTACAAATCACCATAAAATACAAGGTGTGGAGAAGGGTCCTGAAACTCTGTCTGGAAAGTTTCTCTGTACCCGTATTCTGGAGGTAAAACATCTTTAACAAAATATATCTTTATATTTCATTCATTCACTGCATTCATGACAGTACAACTGTTCAGATCTGGTATATACATTAGCACTGTTTATAGGACTGTATTGCTTCTTAAGTTCTATTTGATGGTCTTTTTTGATGTGTGTGTGTGTTGTACAATGTTTCAAAATTACTGGAAGAATTGTGTCATTTATTTATGGGGGGAAATCCTGCATGTGTATAAATTAATTCCTATAGGGTGCTGAAATGTGGCTCCCATTGTTCTCTCATCCAGGGATCTAATCAGGTCCATTCCTTTCCAGCTTTAGCCTTTCTCCAACACTGGGTCTCCTCTGTTAAATGAGTTAATCTGTTGTACATTTGGAAGGAAAATCCTTGCAAGATTTTAGTTTTTGTTTTGATTTTTTTTAGGAGCACCAGGATATGCTTCTAGGAAATACCATACAGAATGCAGCTGCACTATTAAATAATCTGGTTTCGTATAACAGTTCAAATATGGCATTGCTTTATGAACAAGGTAGGTATTCTTAACATCTGTTATCCACTGTACACTTGTTGCATAGACATATTTGGCAGCACATTTCTTCAGTTCATAGACTATTTCAGAAATAATTTCCTAGGAGAAACAACATTCTCATTGTAGTTGCAGACAAGCTTCAAGAAGTCCTCTTGCCATACTCATCAAGTTATGACTGCACAATAAAACTTGATAAAAGAGACCTAAGGATCTAGTTGAAAAGCACACATCAGAGAATTATGAGAACAAACACTGTGTTAAAAGTATTATAATTAGAGAGGGGGACGAATATAGAAACGGATCGGCTTTTTTGACAAAGTCGATTCATTAAATATTTGTTGATCTGTATTCATCAAATTTTACGTCACAATGAATACGGTACGGATCAACGAATATATTGTCATTTATATTTGTCCTTTGTAAAATAAAAAAAACATTCTGTCTAATGGCCACTGATCAGCTGATCGCCAGGCCAATAGGCAGCCACCCACCTCCACAGCCACCCATCCCCACAGCCTACCCCTACCCCTTCTTCTACCTACCTTAGCCACCCCCTTACCGCAGTTGCAACCAAGGTCTCTATCTGGCCTCTGCAGCCACCACATGTAAAAAAAGGGAGACTGGCTGCCCTTTGCAAAGATGGTGGCTGCGGCTTCATTTAGGGTAGGGGGTGCGGGTGGG